GGGGACGGGATCAGGGCGAGTGCCGGCGGTTGTGAGCCCCGTGGCCTCGGAGGTGCCCCTGCAGCCTTCCCGCCCCGGCCTGTGGGGAGACGTCCCTATCACACCCGCTGAGCTCAGAACGGAAGGGACACGGACCACGTGCGAGTCGGCCTCAAGCCCACGCGGGCCGCTGGCTGTGTGGCCTGCGACCGACAGTACGCTGAGAGTCCTCTCCATTGCCCCGCTCGCTCCCGCCCGGACGTCTAGGCCTGCACGGCCTGTGTGTGCAAGTCCTTTGGGAATCCAGGCGCTCTCGGCCGGGTTTCCGGCAGGGCCAGGTGACGCTGGCGTCCCCAAGGCTGCCCTGCTGTGCTCCAGGCCCTTCTGACCCTGTAGTACAGCGGTGGCATCTTTCACCTCATTTAAGCACTGATAGCCTGCGTGCCAGGCTCCAGGCGCAGAGAGCAGGAGTTGCCTGTAGCAGCACTGTAGAGACATGCTGCCTCCCAGACTGGGCCACCAGGTCCCCTAGCACACGCCCCTCAAGTCCCAGACCCCATCACCTCCTTCCTGCTGTCAGCCTCACCGCCAAACCCACCTCACAGCTGCTGGAGGGATTGCTTTATAAAATGGAATGTGATTGCACCTTCCCCTTGCTCAAGAACCTCTATGGCTCCGTTTTGCTCTGACAGAAAACTGAACATCTAGCATCTGGCCCTGTCATCTCAAGTAATCCCCAGCCCCTGTTCTTGTTCACTCTGCTCCAGCCACCTGGCCTCTGGATTCCTACATACCACAGGGCCTTTGCACTAGCTGTACCCTCTTTCCAGAAGGCTCCCAAGTCTCCACACAGCCCCACCCCTGTCCATGGGCAGCCTCCACTTCCTAGTTCAGCTCTTTGCTCAGTTGCTGCCGCCTCCTCCTGAAGTAGAGTGACCTTCCCTTACCATCCTGGTTCACTCTGGGCTTGTTTGCTTTCTGTCCCCTCAAGAAAACTGGAAACAGGACAGCGACTCTGTTCTCTCAAATGCTGTGACCCTGGCTCCCGGAGCTCAGCACGCAGTCCACTAGCCTGTGCATTCAGACCCTGTTCTTTGGAACAGCAAGGTCCTGACTCTGTCACCCCCAACCAGGGAAACAGCTTGTCACAATGCCAGATAGTCCCCATCATGGCCACCCTGCCTCAGCGCCAGCACTATTCTAAATAGGGTAATATGTTCTCTGCCCCCGAGCACATGGAACCCTCTGCTTTAAGTACTATGTGTCGACATATTCATTCTTGTAATAACCTATTTTACACGTCAGGAAAAGGGCTCAGAGGAAACAAGTGACATGGCCAGTGTCACACAGCCAGGAAGTGACAGCACCAGAATGAGAACTCCGGGCTGCCTGGCCCCAGGTCCACCCTGGCAGGAATATCACTGCAGAGTGGGAGCTGTCCTCAGCCTGCCCTGGGCGCCCACGTGCTCCCTTGCCCAGTCTCTCACCGCCTTGTCTACCCCAGCACCCTCCTCTCCTGACAGGGAAGCTTGGATGGCTCTTTACTGCTCAAGCAGTAACATCTGGACCTCCCGGTGTGGCCCTGAGTCTGGTCCCAGCACATCCCCTGCTCTGACTGCCTTCAGGGTGCCCCCACCTGTACCCCCAGGGGTGAGCTCACTTCACAGAGACGGAGAACTCGCCCGGTGAGCTCTCACTCTCCCGGATCAGGAAGGCGCCCAGGTGGTTCCGCTTCATTAAGATCTCTTCAGCCAGCTGCCGGGAAATCCTGCCTGAGTACCATCTGTGGAGAGAGGGGCACTGAGACACCGGGGCAGGGCCCCCACCCTCACCCATCCGCAGGCCTCAGTCCCTCTGATCCTGGAGGTGGACCAGAGATGTGGGAGGTGTGCTCAGCCTCTTTTCCAGGTGGGCAAACTGAGGCACGTGTAGTAGAGCGAGACAGGCAGGAGCTGGGACTCAGTCTAGTGTTTGCTCCAGAGCCCACCCAGCCTTTCCTACCACACCAAGCAAACACACGCTGGGGAAAACAGGAAAATTAGGCTCCAATCGAGCCGCAAGCCAGCCAACCTCAATCTGACTTTTCCATTTTAGATGGCAGGTTCTTTCTGGTTTTATTTGTTTTTGTGAGACAGGGTCTTGCTATATAGTCCAGGTCAGACTTAAACTTTTGCTCTTCCTGCCCTAGCCTCCCAAGGGTCAAAGTTATAGTTCACCTGTACACCATGCGTAGCTCACAGATAGATTTTTTTTTTTTTTTTTTTTTTTTT